GAGCACTGCCAGAGCCCTACAAAATGACCTCCAGCAGGCCACTGGTGTGCAAGTCTCTGACCAAACAATCAGAAAGACTTCATGAGGGTGGCCTGAGGGGCCGACATCCTCTAGTGGGCCCTGTGCTCACTGCCCTCATGAAGAGGGGTCCTGCACACTGTCCTCATCCTGCCATCTTCCTGCTGCCTGCTCCTGTGCCTCTCCTGCCTTCTGCTGACCCCCACTTTCCTTCTTACACATTGTTTGCAAAACTGCACCTACAGTATACTTTTAGTGTAAAGTACAGCCTAATTTCTAACTCACCTCTTGGTCCTGCGCGCTGTCCTCATCCTGCTGCCAGCTCACTGTCCTGCACACTGTCCTCATCCTGCCATCTTCCTGCTGCCTGCTCACGGTCGTGCACACTGTCCTGACCCTGCCATCTCCCTGCTGCCTGCACGCTGTCCTCATCTTGCCATCTTCCTGCTGCCTGCTCACTGTCCTGCACACTGTCCTCATCCTGCCATCTCCCTGCTCCTGTGCCTCTCCTGCCTCCTGCTGATCACCACTTTCCTTCATACACATTAACTTTGCAAAACTGCACCTATGCTTTTAGTGTAATGTTCTGTAGCTCTTAATACTAATATTTCCTACTTACTCTTCTTTTACCACCAAAAAAGTGTCTGATGTCTCCATCTTTCCTTTTCCTCGTAGTGTGTCTGTGAATAAAATCTAATCTATACTTAACAAAGCAGTATCTGGGCTATCAGATGAAGCTTCTAAAAATGTCTAGAAATATGAAATAGTGGAATGCAGAATCAATACCACTAAAATTCAAATAATAGGGCACAATTTATTCATGATAAAATGAGAATGAAAACATAGGGAGTTCATCTCCTTGGAAAATGACCATGATCGATTTTACCTCACCAAATAAGCCTGTTTTAAATAGAGAACTTGGCTTATCTTGCTAGTTAACGTAACTGAAGTTGACTCTACCAGCGTTCTGTCGAGTTGAGCTACTTCTTTTTGGGGAGATTTTGTTTTGGGGGTTGTTTTCCAGCACCC